AACATTCGACAGGAAATGTGGCTGCAGCATGATGGTGCGCCAGCGCACTTTTCGCTTGTTGTCCGAGATCACCTTAATCAACAATTCGGTGTAAGATGGATTGGCCGTGGAGGACCTATGGCGTGGTATATATAATATGTCCGAGGCGTCCAGAGACGCCTGTGAATGAGTGGCCCCTCACACACAATGACATGTCTAGCCTTATATTCTTTGAATATTTTAAACTAAATAGATATAATATATATATTTTTTCATAGTTTAATTCATTATTTATTCAAAATTTGGCATAAAAAATGTTTTTAACCATTGTGATTTTTAAATATTGTATTTATCACAAATTCTTGCTATAAAAACAAAAAATTTGAATATCTTACAAACAGAAGCAGCTAAAATTTCAATTCAAACTGAATTTGAATCTATTTTCAAGTACAAATATATCGCCGCTTTCAGTTTTTGTCGTCATTTTTATGCGAAATAAAGTTGCTTCCTGTGATGTGTGGAATTAAATAATAGCTTTGTTCATGGTGGTAATCCTAAACTAATCACAGTAGATTGTTCATTTGCCCGATCATTTCAGACTTGGTTCAGGATTGCTACCATTGCTAAATTACAGTAATAAAACAAATTCAATCAATATCACTTTTTTTTTAGAATTCCCCAAATGACCTACAAATGATGTCAGATGCTCCTGCTCATCATTTGTTTTGCCTTTTGGGACCAATAAATCCCAATCAAAAGTCTCTTCCAGAAGTTTTAGTTATGATACAAGTATGTCTTGAGGGTGGAATTTCGGAGAGATCAGTCATTAAGGAATTTTCTAAAAGTAAGAAGGCATCTGGTGATTTAATACCTTGGACGATTGGCCAACAGTATCAGGATACTAATTTTCCAAAATTATGTGGTGCTAGAATTGTTCGAATTGCTACTCATCCCGACCATCAAGGTGTAAGTATGCGTCATGTTCTACAATTACTAATATTAAATAATTGAAATATGGATAGCAGAATTCATTGCGCATAACTTTTGTTATTGACATTTTATTCTATCTCTCAAGAGAAAGGGTGGGGGAAGCCCCTAATGTCTGATCAGAAAAATACATATTTTTTAAGGATTGGCTCATCAACAGCACATAGTGTTATACCTCATTGGAAAGGTCTTTTCGTGCTTTATCTCAATATGAATGCATAATGCCATTTACCGCAATATGGATGGCGTTATTTCAAAAGAACGTGCTCTGTCACTGAATCCTTGAATACATAAATTACATAAATCGAACTGAGAATATACACTTAAAAAAACATTAAAAGAAAACAGGTTTTTAGAAAGGACCCCGCACACCTTATGGAAATTGCTCTTTTGGTCAGATTTCCTGAAAAATTGATATATTGTCTCTTTTTTGTCATGATCAAAAGACTTCATGGCCACGAAACTCCACATCCCCATCTGGAAGCAATACGGCCTACAAAAGGGTAAAAAATGGTGAAAAATTGATTCATTCAAATATAATTTCTTTTGACAAAAGGACAGTTTGTTCGTGTGTACGTGCGCGTACGTGTGTATATGCAATAAATACTCAAAATACATACCATACAAATTTTTTACACATTAATTTTTCCAAAAAAAAAATATCTTAATATTAACGATTTCTTGGTATGATTTGATTTGGTTTTATATTACTTCTTACATTTTATATATACGGGGTGTAAGTTTATGTGGGGGTCAATTTTTTACGGGTAATAGTACGTGTTTCCCTGAATACGAATCTGAAATTATTTTTTTTTAACAAATAAATACTCGAGTTATAATTAGATTTTTAACTGATTTTAATTCATATGTACGCCGCCACTGGCCAGAGTAAACCAGCGCTCCCGGAATTTACGTATGAAGTTGTATTCCTCACTACCGGCGTTGCCAGTTGCTTTTATACCAACAACATTGAGTGAATTTAAAAAATAATTTAACAAATCAGACTGTTTTTGTATAATTTACAGACTTGTCAAGCCATCACATTATTTTGATATCATTGTGGTAGAGCAGCCAAACTTGTAAAAAAAATAAAGATTTACATAGTTTATTAAATATTAATATTTTGGTACGTAGATACATTACTAATTGTAAATAAAACTTTTGTGTTTTAAAATAATTA